AAACTCCTAACTATAAAAATATATCAAAACCCATAGTATGTATCGATAGGTATTCATGAAATTGAAAAACTTTTTCCAAAGGATTTAGTGGAAAATATATGACTGCGCGGTTTATATTAATGTTAAACGAGTGTTTTCATTTCCCTTGGGGAAAGTGGTTTAGTTTCATGAATTATAATGATTTCTGACTGTATTTTTTTATACTTCTGAGGTGGCAAACAAGCATACGGCTAACCTGATAGTAAGCGATCATCGTTGCCTATGCATACTTCTGTAGTACCAATGGCATTACGCGCGCGTTGCCGACCATAAAGAAACCTCTTTACCCATTTTTTGAAGAACTCCTTTTTTGAACTTTTTTGAAGAGCTGTAGTCTCTTAGTAAATCTCAATAGACTCGATATATACATATACATATATTTCGCGAAAGTACTATTTTATGGATATTATTAATTATAAACTAAGGTTATAATTTTATTTAAACCTATTACAAGTTTATATTTTATGTTAGTCCTTGGAATGAATATTTTGTTGTGCTATGTAACAGAAATTTAAATTTTGGAAAAATATTTAGTGAATGGCGACTCAGAATCGATCCCAATGTTGATTAAGAGACTGTCCTTTACGTATTCACATACTACATCTTTTTTCAGGAAATTTATTCCATGCTTTGATTTACCTGAAAGACAATGTCATAGATATTTTTTTTAATATATATACATATATATTTTAAACATAGAAATAAGTATGTAATACACAATTGACGTAATTACGTTTAACTATGCATACGTCATAGGTGTATATATAACTAGCCATTATTTACGTATTCCGATAATATATAAGTACTTATGTACTAAATAAATTTCTTTGCTCATTCAAGATCAAGGTCGGAATTATAAACAACGACCAATTTATACTCGGGTGTCTTCAAATACTTAAAGACTATATACATATGTGATAGCGAGATTGTATTTATAAGTTATTAACTATTCCTCGCGGTTTTGTCCGCTTGTATCAATTTATAAAGTACCCTATGCGTGAAGGATATAACCTGCCTGTTTGCTAAATTTCATTCAAATTCGTTTAGCCATTTAAGCATTTGAATAACATAGATACATTCTTCAACATAATCCTCCGCATTTATAATAGTAATACTAGTAGAATGAAATGAGAAGTTAGTTGAATACCATTTAACTCTTTTATTTGTAAAACTTTAAACATCTAATAAATCTCTTTAAGGTATTGTACTGTAATTTTGATTTTTTATATTACTATATTAGCGATTAATTAATTCAACGATTTCGATTGTATAATCTGAATCGTTAGCGCCCTACGAGTATGAAGGGAGAGTTATAGCATCAAAATTGAATATTCTCATTAAGGGAACGTGGGTCGCAAAATAACATCAACATTTATTTAACACAATTAAGAGATACATTTTGAGAAATACCGAAGATAAGTTTTAATATTTTTATATAAGAAGATATATATGATTAATTTCAAGTTAATCGGTTAAAAAATGTACTTTTTGAAACAAATTTTTACCTTTGTTTATACACCATTAAAGGGCCGAGTTTCGAAAATTATCCCTTATTACTTGTGTAGGTTATAAAATAAATCAATGGTGTAAATTTGATATTTAGAGCTTTAGTAGTTTCGGTTGTGTGTTGATGAATCAGTCCGGAATGCTATATAATTTAGAAAATTCACATAATTGAGATACGTTTTTTTTATTGGTAGAAAATGGAATAGTAACCCCGCCTGCGCTAACGGGATACGCTGGCGGGGCACCAGTGAAGGGTGATCAATGAGGATGAAAACAGGCCAGTTAGCCCATCATGATGAATTCATCAGGAATTAATCATGATAGTTTCCAGGGGGAACCGCGAGGAGGTTGACCTGGTTGGGTATATTGGGATTCTCAATCTCCATTACTAACAATCCCTTTCCCCCCGATACAATACGTTACCTACGTATAGAAAACTTCAAAATATGCCGATGTCAGATGTTATATTTTTCGTAGGTATAGCTTAATGTTAAAGATGTTAAGTATGAAACCCTGATTTAACATGTAAAATGAAGTTCAATGCGTGTTACACTGATAACTCGTACATAATTATGATAAATTGTATATAGATTGTATGGACATACATTGCATGCTGCTCTGAATAAAAAGAGGTAAGTATTCTTATTATTTAAAAGAACTATTACTAAAATACTTAACGCGATGCAGATTTTTCATTATCTACGCAATTAAAGATTAGTTTTCGTTACTGTAAGCTAAATAAATGATCATAGACGTATTAATGGGAGTATCGGGTGGGTCGTGCCTACCATAGAATTATTTCGTGCTTACCTCAGGATGCAAGCGGAGATTTCAGCTACATGTAAAGACGTGTCTGAGAATACATTATGCATCTTTTGCCAAGGGCCAGCCCCTACCTCTCGCCCCTCCTAAGAAAATACTCTCAAAGATGCCAGTGTAGATTTAACCCAACTAAATTATTTTTGCCAATTTTGGATAGATTTAAAAAAATAAAAAAATCGAATTTTGCAGAATTGTAAATGTGAATTCTGTTAGAAATAACAAGAAATATACCTATATTTTCTTAGAATATATAATGGCTACTTTTTGAGATTAGTTTGGACGAGGTAATATAATTAGGTAATGTAGATTCCCACGGGAGCGTTGTGAAAAATCTACGAAGCACGGCTGGCGAACCGCTATTGTAATACGATATTGTGAGAGGAAGTCGGTTTGTAAGAAAGTGTCGGTGTAAAAATGAGATAAGGCACGATACCTGATGCCATGGTTTTTTAAATATTTTTTTTTATGTAGAAAATGAATTGGTAACCTCATCTGTGCCTTTAATTGGTATACGCTGGGGGCACGAAGGTAAGTGTCAATAAAATGAGACTAGTTACCGTATTGTAACGAGTTTAAGTCAAATTTAAAAATTACAAGGTACGAAATTATAACACCACCGTCTTCAGTATAATGACCTCATATAAAGGGTACCATGAGTACAATATATATTATGACGTCCATGACTCTGTTCATATCTATAGGCGATGGTTGCTACTTTCCGTCGGTTGAGCTGTAAGATTGCTAGCTATTCTAAGTTGCATAAGAAAAAAATACGAGAAATTTACCACGATGCAAGAGAAAATCGCACGGAGCTCGACCTGATAGAACATGTTGCAAGCGATGGTATCCGTAGATCCTGCCACTAACAACCCTAAAGCGAATATAAGAAAAAAATTAATTATTGGATGACCATACACGTTAAGGTATATGAGGAAAGAAAAGAAGGGAGATTCTATGCAGGTCAAAAGCAAGACTAAAGTGTTATCACTTGTCTTATGTAAAACTTTATGTTATAAATTGATTGTGCAGCAAAGAATTTGCTGTAAAGTTTTAACCAATTAGTATTAAAAGTATAAAAATCAATCGAGAGATAAATCGAATACGAGTTATTTGTGCATTGGTTTATTTTAATTTAGTCATTTATAACAATGTCAGGAATTAAAAGGTCATAATATGCTATCCCGGTCTAATTAACCACGATTATAAAGTTCATAAGTATACTTTGTTATTTCTGGTGAAAATCAACGGGTTATGCGAGGAGAGTTATGAAAGTGTATGAAACAAGATGTATATAACGGTAGGAGGTCTTTGAAATTCGATATTCTCTACTTAACCCGTATGGGATTTGGCGTGACGACAGAAAGAGTTCTTTTAATACTAATTTTTATATCCCGTTTTACATATGCACCGATTAGTCTAATTGGTAGGTTTTTATTTTATACGGAAGTATTATATGAACTCCACAAAATGTTTTTATGGTCTAATAGTGAAATTACATGCAGTAAATAAACTTATAGTAGAATTTAGTCGAGGTCACGACGCGATTTTTATTGCTTTGCAGATTTAAAACATTCATTCTAACAGTGGAAAACGAATTTGTTACGTCAAAAATACCTTAGGTAGATAGTTATTTTTGTCTAGATAAATCTACACAACATTCTGTTTAAGAAAGTAATAGACGACCCAATTCCCACCAATAGTTGATTAATATTATTGGATTTGTTAGTGTTCAAAGTGGTAAACAGTACTACTTATTTGTGGAGTTGGATTGTTTAAGTTGTTCAGGTTTCAATGTTGTACAATCAGAGGAGAATATTTTCAAACACGAGTAGAAAATATAAATCACATTATAACATGCAACTAATCTGACTGCATAAATATACTAGTATTATAACGTAGTGATTACTTGCTCCATTCTAATATGATTGATTTGGAAAATAAAATAATAAAAAATTATGTCCCACAAAAAAGCCAATTTCAATTGTGACAAAACTAGTTATTTTAGTTTATAAACAAAATCGGTTAAGTAAATGTTTTTAATAAAATTTCTATGGGTCTAATCTCTAAGATTATATATATCCTTTCAAATAAAAAAAAAATCATATTCGTTTACAAATGACGGAGTTATATACTCATAAGTTTATTAAGTTTATTACTTACCTTCTTTTTGTCGGTTGAAAAAAAAAAAAACTCGCCCGTTATCAAAATATTATTGGATTACATACTTTTCTACAGTATAGTACTGCTATATTGAAATTTTGAGACTCATAGAATAAATGTTACCTCAGAATATAATTATAATTAATCAGTTAATACATATTTAATAGGCATTACTATTAGTGGTTATATTATTTTTAAAATGTTTATTTAAGTCTTAATTTTCCATATACCAATAATTCAATAGTATATTATCCTTAAAATATTACTACTAAATATTGTCTGCATAACATTATAATATAAAATCTATTTGTCTAAACAGGAAAGCGTGTACACATACACTAGAAACTTTAACAGAATATTATGCTAAGAAAATCAAGATTATTGATGTTTCTAGTTATGGCATGGTGATAGTAATGTATACATATGTATAATATTTGATTAACTTATTTATAATGAGTAATATTATTTTTCAGATCTCGATCACAAGTGAGACTAGACTATCGACAAGAGCGTTTTAGTGAGTGAAACGAATAAAGAACTATATATATGGATAGTTTAGAAGTCTGCTCTATCATGGATAAAGTAATATATGTGCCTACTGACTAAGTCGACGATTGCGACAGTGTTGATGTTGACATACAATAAATATTAGACAGCCATGCTGTCTTATATGGTGCCTGTTGAGGAGAAACCTCCTCCAGTCCCGGGAAAGGGCCGGCTCGCCCTGGAACTAGTGGGGAGTCCAGGCAGTCCAGAATCTGCTGCGAGAAGAGCTCGGACCAACATTTCTAAAGAGTCATCGACGAGCTCCTTCGCTAGCGATCTCACGATATCTTCGTCGACGCCCACAGGCGCCCTCGACAAACCCAAACATAAGCTACTCAGCAATGGAACTAAACACACCACCTTAAAGAGGTAAGTGGTAGTTTTAATGAACTTTATCGACTTATCTATAAATATTGTTTGAGTGTGTGTGTGTATATAGGGGAAGGGGGTTTGATAGATTTCATAGTTTTTACGGTGAATATTAAATAAATAATTGTCTTATAACAATGAATAGCTGCCGTATGAAAAAAAAAAAATAGAAGAAGATCAGTGACAGGCAAAATGAAAATTTATGGCTATTAAAAAAAAGAAACAAAAAATGTTGTAATCTTCCACAAATATAGCGGAATTTTTGCTTCTAAATTAATATTTATGACAGTTTCTAATCCAGTTCGACCGTATTAAATAAAAGTAACATATAATATTTTATAAATTCCTATCTTCGCATTGTGCTCCGATGTGTAGTAATTATTATACCATATACCACATGTGGTTTGGTAGAAACTGTTATACCATTTACGTAAGTAATAATTGCTAATAAGTCATTTATAGATATAATAATAACCTTACACAAATGTTTGTTATTTCACCTAAACTTATCAATGAGTAATTTTGTGTGATGGGTATATGTATATTTTCGATTGTACTTAATCCCAGTTTAAAAATTTATTATATAGGTAGATACGCCTGGGTCTTACTTCTGATATGATACATAATGCAATCTTTTTCACAATAGGTATATTCATTTACTTCTCAGTCGTGGCTTCGATGAGAAATGTGCTCGAAGGATAATACATTATTCTTAGGATTTTTTTTTATGTTTACGGATAACTTACTGTTTGAGCGATCGGTAGCTATTTCCATAGATTTCTAAGTGATGATATAAAAGTGTTTGTAACTAAAAAAGCAGTATATGTTTGAAGATTTTTCTCGTGTTTACTGCTTATAAGACACCGAACATTCGGGGATATAACGCAGTACACCAAAATACGAGCCAATTCACCAAATTGGGACATAACTTACGCAATCTAGCGTGTCTTATCGCTGCTCCACTGAAGCAGTAATTTCTTTGCATACCCTATGTCCATTCTGGGGTTCCAAATTACTTATTTGTATTTTAGAAAATTTTCGCCCAAAACAGCTTGAGCTATATAATTGTAATTGAAAGAGAGTTCTCTCTTTACAATGATTAATCACTAAAATTGTTTTTTAATAATTTATATGTGCAACATTATATTTCCTTAGTTTTATCGTTATAATCACAAAATTGTAAAAAGACTGTGCTCGTAAAATATTTTTGTACTATTTACGTTGCAAATTAAACTTCTAAAACCTCATTTCGATAGGATTCGAATTTCGATTTGGTTGCTTAACATTAAAAATCTTTAAGCCATACATAGGTGTCGTCACTCTCTGAAATGTTTTTTGGTTTGCTTCATCACAGATAGCAGTTCTTTTCACCCTTTTCCATATCTATTCTCAAGAATGTTTACTCCAACTCCAATAAACCCGTAAGTTATGAGTTCACTTCAATCTGTTAATCTTTTTTGACAATATCGATCAAATTGATTCTTCATCGAAATTACTTGTTTTGGATTTTATCTTACAATGAAAGAACTATCTTTTCTTTTCTTAGTAAGGGAGCAATATTCTGGTTGTCTCTTATTATTGATATTATGATAATGATATAGCATTTAATATTAATATGAAAAACAATAGGGATCGTTATGTTTAACTTGAATTGTATATTACATTTTTGCATTCGTTAAATTTATTTCAATCAAAAACTGAATATATTTGCAATTTAAATTTTGAATATAATGGAGAACTGATGTTTTGTCTGGCGTACACAACAATACCAAATGAACTAAACATTATTCTCTGGGGTAACAATCGTAACAATGTTTGCTAATTGTGTAAGCAATTTACTTGTAATGACGCACAGTTAAAGGTTTGTAAATTGTTTGCAATTTTCAGATTCACTCGCAACACTAAAGTAAATTGACATACCTATTAGATGATACCATTACAACCCCGTATCCGACCTTGATTTTTAAACTATCAACCAGAGAGTTTGTAGTTACATAAATAGGTTTATTACTACAAAAGTAATAAATAATATTGTTTTTCGTAAATGAAGATCTGAATTAGATTTTTACGGGGCCCATTTACAATTTTTTTTGTTTTCTGAGATATGCTATCATTATATTTAATAAATATTATTCACAGTATCACATTCAATAGTAAAAATAAGTTATGCTCCTAGATTTTCGTTGCCTACTTTGCTATAATACAAGTGCAAGGTTAATGGAGTGATTGTGTCTCATTTATTTTTTTTCATCAGAATCATTCTTACGCCTGAAGTTTTTTGCATACAATGAAGCTGTGTTGATTCATATATTTTACTACTAATTATATTTTAATTGCAAAAAAATATAAACGTGGCGATTATGAGATCACCTTGAATTATAATTATTCAGATATTAAATAAAGTGCTGAACTTTCAAGACCAAAACTTTCAAGAACTAGGAAACGATTTACTTCCTTATAGTTAGATCACGAAATTTTTCCAAAGCTTAAATAAAAAAAATTATCGTTTTTGGTACATTTATTTTTAAGTATATTTTTAAGTATACAATGGTCAATAAACTATACAATTAGCAGAAAATAACAGAAGTAGAATTAAAGATGTTTAATTAAAATTTGATAATAAAAATGACTTAAAAATTGTAATTCACTTTGTGCTCACGTAGTCTTTATTATCCCAGGAATTAGGAAGCCTGACTGGTATTTTTGAGAGCCATGAAGTATATATTTCAAGTTGACAGTCGGGTCTGTAGAGCAAAGTTATACATAATTACTATTTATGTATTGTCTTTAAGTACTCATTACTGATTACACGTGGACTCGTTGACCTCTGTGTGAAATTAGACAGGCGTTTTTGCAACAATAGTTATGTCAGAAGACAAACGATAACTTATCATGTGACTGTGACATTTAAATTTAGAGTATGACTGTTATGACAATGATTTAGTATTATTACTACCTATTTATTGTAAATGCGCAAGTTCGTAAACATATTTGCATATAATTTGTTGCTCGACTGATTACGGACTTAAAAACAAATTAGTAAGTTACATATTATATGGCAATCTGGGTTTAACACACCGCCTTTCCTTTCGATGGTCACGGGTTCTATTTCCGTACAATACAAACATTTGTATTCATGAGTACTCCTATGACTGTAATGATCATGTTACTATAATATATATGTATGTATTTACAAAACTGTTTATCAGTTGTTCTAGTATCTATACCATATTTAGGTCTAGATGACACTGTATAATATGTCCAGTGGAATAAAAAATTGTACAATAAGAGAAAAAAGTCTACTGACAGATTGGGTAAGAAGTTCGAAATTTTGTACAAAGGTTCTATGGAATATATCTATCTACTATGAATGGATGTTTTTAAATATCTATTAGAACGAGAGATAATGGGTTCTATGTAGGCGAAGACGCATGTATTTATTATGAGTAAAAGATAGCAGTTTAAATTGGCAATAGTTCAAAGCTTGCGTATTAGGTATATGTAAACAGTATCATCACGAGTACCTTATGATATGACGTAGGTATTATGATAGAACTGACCGTGTAATGTGAGAGGAATAAGATAAAACCATCCTTTCTGTGATGTGGGACATGTTTTCAAGGAACTTAAAAGCCCTTTTTATAGCACACCTTTCATAGAGACTGAGACTAACCTCTTATGTTGGTGCTTATGAATAACCCCTTTGAACATCTGTGTTACTTGTGGAATGTAATACGAGTTGCCATGTTTTTACTTGTATGTTTAAAATTAAATCTATACTGCTATAGGAATGTATTTAATTTTAAACAGAGCGAAATTATATAGTAAGTACTCTTAATTAGTTTTACGAACTTGGTAGAGAGCCATCCAATAATTCCTGTTGATGTCACAGGCACCGGTTTAAGACTTTTTGTTGTTTCCAATTTGCCTATAACTTGAGGAATATCAGCAACTTCTTGACGAATCGCGTTCGACTCGGCAAGTGTTCGCCTGAAAATGGATAGCGCCAGTGGTAATAACATGGTTTTCTTTCTCAAGGTAACATAATTGAGCGGTCGATAACAGGCGAGCTGATATCGTTATTGTATGGGGTTTGTCGTAAACTTAAAGAGAAACCCATCTATTCGCGGTAGCAATAAACAATTTATTTTGTGTCGTTACTAATGAATTACAGCTATATATTTATATTTTTGGATACAATTTATATAACTGCTACTTTCTATAACTCTTGTCCAATTAAAGATTTTTTATACTTGTACGAAAGTATAAGTCCATACAATTTTCTATGGTGATTTTAGCGGTCAAATGCGACGACGATCGTGAACAAGGAACGATCGTGTTTGACATTTGTTTCGCATGAAATGTTAGCGTTCACGATAAATTTAATTTGCGTGACGAATTTATGCTTTTGGTTACTTTGATGCTGTGACCAGACTGGAATGCTACTGCGGTTGAGATATATTTTAATAGGAGGAAGGAAAGATGACTTAATTGCTCACGAAATTTTATTATATAATAATGCTGTTCATAGGGCAGTAAAATTCATATTGCAATAGAATTTGAAGGTCTTTTACTGAATGCAAGCTCGTATTTGTATTTGTCCTCAAATATCAATGTTTTTGCATAATTGGGTAATATTCTTGCTTACTAATTAGGTATTGCTACACTTTCAAGATAAGTACTTAGATTTATCGAAAGTGTTAACGCGACGTAACTATTAAATAATGAGTATTTATATTTGTCATTACGTTATTTATGTCAACGTCTACAATAGATAATTTCAACAAAATAAAACATCAAAGAAAATAATATGTATTTAAATGTAATAATTATGGCTACTTTATACGAATAGGTTTTTCAGGTAAAGTAATAGTTATTATGTGCGTGAAATCTTTAATCAGCTACTTAATTTATATTTATTTATAGGGTAAAATTTCATATTTCCAGGGTTTGAGTGTCAATTTTTAAATATAATAAAGTCCAATTTATCCGAAATGATCGAGACCGCGGCCGGTTCGGGTAACGAAAATTTCAGATAAATCGAAGTACCCCGAATTATGTCAATACCGTGAAATTTTATCGTAAAACGTGCATACGTAGAATTCTATTGATATGGGATAAGGTTGTAAATAAATTTACATATTTTTGACAAAAAAAAACCTTAATATGTTAAAAAGGTGCCAAAGTATGATAGAAAATTCAAAGATTTTAAATGCTGAATAAAAAGATCGTTTATTTTGCGTTCTTACAGAAAAAGCAGGAGAAAAATAGGAGTTTTAATTTTATTGCCTACTCCTGAGCCGCTGAATTGACGTAGTTGATAAAATACAGATATAAAGAGGTTTAAGAAAAAAATTCGAAAAAATTGTTCGGATAAAGTGGATTTCGGACAAATTCGATTCGAATAAAAGGGATTTTACTGTATTTCCTTTTAAACATCATTCACCACTAATTTTGCTACCATTTTTACAGCTGACATTTTACATTTTTAAAGACTAATATCTTTATTTTTATATAAAAAATAATTAAGTAGGTTTTATAAAGACAGTCTATAGGTGGAACTCGCTAAAGTACCTAATCGTAATCCACTATAGATATATAAAAAAGAACATCAATATGTTTGTAAATATATAAGAGAAATGAATGGAAGCACGACGTTATAATGCTATGCTCGTATTTGGCTACATTTTTTAATGCAATGTATAGTAAATAGACATCTAAATAAATATTGGAGTGACTTTGAAAGCATGCGTGACGGAAATTTTCAATATCCGGCGTTATATTATTAGGTCCAATAATGAGGCGCCTTTTGATGGTACAAGCACTCTTCTCCAAAGTTTATACCGTAAGTTTCGTTTGGGCAAACAAATCGGGATGATGGAAAGGATCGCGCTTTATTGAGAGTTTGTTGATTGATGATAATATTTTTAGTTCTTTATGCCTAATATTTACACATTAAAAGAATTTTGCTTTTTTAACCATGTCATTATGGGACGAAGCGTTTTCACTGAGATATTTATGTAATTTGAGTTTTAAGAAATATATTTACGATTTTTCTATGAAAACAGAAAGAATATCTAAGTATCATAAATTTACCTGAGTATATTTTCCACAGGAGTTTATAGAATCTCAAGAATTAGAAATTTTTCATAGGAAAGGTCAACAATTATGGATTTATTTTATATTAAAATATAGAAATATTAAAATAGGTTTGTTAACGGTCATAATCATTGGATTATTGTCCAAGGGAATTTCAGTAAGTTTGTTCGATTGGGTCTTTTTAATTTTTTATACCATGCATGGTTCTATCTAAAGCTAGCATGTACGAAATGCAAAATTCCTCTGATTCTTACTTATTCAATTCTGATATATTATTATTATTTCATATTTAATTATTATTAGACATAAAATTCTAGAATCAGGTTGTTTTAAATTACTTTCTCTCATCCAGAAGCCAACTCCACTGCTCAAACCACTGTTTCCGGCATATGTCCACTTTTTTCCATTGTGCGCGCATTTGAAATGCTTCTGTGTTCGGATCAAACTTCGGAACACATTCCTTTGCCATTTTTATGTCGTTCTGAAATCAAATTGATCAGTTACTATTTACTAATTAAATTTATTTGGTATTAGCACTAGTATTGTATTATGTTACTTGTGGTATCGGTAACAGTTTCGGATAACGAATGGATAGCAAATTATGTGAAGCTGGTTATTTCTCGTGACTTCTTTCACTTGAATTAGTAATTAAAGGATCTTATATGTTAATTTAGGATTCAGTCTATCCGTGCATACAATTTTATCTAAATTTGGTTAGCTCAACAGTTTTTTATTCAGTTACGCTTAAACGTGTTTGAGTAACAAACATATAAACGTCAAACATCTTTACTAACTTTCATATTTTTAATATTATTAGGATGGAATGAAATGCCAATTTTATTAGGATCTATTTCTTAGGTTCACAGATTCTTGATATTTTTTTCTGTGGGACTGGATGGCCTGGGAAGACACATTTCGATGTGAACTTTATTCGTGCGTGTCCGACATGCTCTTAGCCAGTTTATTTAGATTATCTAGATCTTACTTAACATAGTATTAGTAAGGTAATAAGTTACCAATTATTAACTATATAGTAAGAAACAGTTATTGTATGCAGTATTTAGGGCTGGTATTAAAAAATGCTGTATAGTGCAGCTAAATGCCGCAATATGGTTGTACGGCTATAATGTCATTTATGACATGGGTAAGGCAACGTTCAGAGACGCTAGTGTCAGTTATAGTTAAACTAGGGCAGACCTTATCACGAATGCTAAGTAGTTCCCTACCAGCTACGGTATGGTTCAGTAGAACTTTACGTGACTATACTAACTACCTACCACCTTAGAAAATCAAAAGTAGGTCAATTAGAAAGTCTATCAGTGCTTTAATAATACAGCTAGAACATTTTCGGATTGATTACCAACGCCTGAATCGTGAGTAGCGAATGTATAAACCAATGGATAGATTAGACCTTTATGAAATAAAACATCACGACATGTACTTAAGTGATGTTGACTATTATCTAAATACAGACACAGTTAGTGTACAAACAGAAAAATAGTGCTTTATACATTTAAGGAAGTCTTCTAGAAATTAAATTGATCATTTTTCTCAAAGAAACATCGGTTAACACGAAATTCTTATCCATTGTCAAAATATTACTGTATCTCATGACACACTGGGCCCACCGGTTGAGTTAATAGGTATGGGTTGTTTTTCAGAAACATATTTAGTTTAACTAATAAAATAATTTTATAATTAACAATAAAATTTCAATATTTTTATTTCCATTTCTATTGTCAACTTGGAGTGTATTTAAATAGGCATAGGTACTTTGTAATGGTCACAAATTGTGACATGCTTATATTGCCAATTAAATTTAACTAGATAATTCAATATGCGAGAGGGTTTAGTAGTTTAAAATTGACTAATCTTAATGTAACGAAGATAATATTTTTTAAGATAGTATTCCATAATAAAAAAAGACTTCAATTGTGGCAAGAGCAGTTATTTTAATTAAAAAATTAATCTCATGAACCAATTTTAATAAAATTTCTATGAGACCGACTTATCCTTTCAGATAAAAAGAGAGAATTTTCCAAGTCATTTCATTTAAATTTAATAAATATAAAAAATAAAACCAAATTGAGAGCCTCCTCCTTTTTGAAGTCGGTTGAAAAAGTGAAGTAGCTGACGCTACCAATTACAGTGTCTACCAATTATAGCACTAATAGTTGTATTACGGCTCTATTGAGGATCACGGTTCACTGAGTCACCAGCACAGATGTGTGATACTCCATTATGTACGTAGTTTAGAGGCCTCGGGTTCGGTTCTTGGTTGGGTTAATTCTGTTAATAACCTTGGGTCATAATATTATAATTTTGTTTCTATTTATAAATGACTTCAAAAAGATTCTATATTCGACTGATTTCTTGCGTTATCAATTATAAACCGACTTTTATAATTATTTTTAAAATTGATAGAGTTTACTCTCGTATGAATCCGTTTTAATCTTGTGACGATTTTAACTGCCTTGTTTTCTGTAGAAAAACAATATTTATCATATTAATGTTAATTTTCAATGAATTATAAGACCTATTTGTTACACCCCTAACAACTAGGCATATCTTACTAATATTATAAATATGAAAGTGAGTTTGTTTAGTTGTTTTCCTCTTGGCGCCATAACGGCTTAATTACTATGAAATTTGATATACATGTACTATATGGGATGGATAAAGACATAATGCTATTTTTATCCCCATCAGTGAACATATCTTAATTACGCGAACGAAGACGCAGGTAAAAATTTGTAGAGACTGATAGAAAGGTCTATAACAATCCGAAATCCAGCGACAGTCTTCATCAAACTGAACAACTTTCTCCAATTGAAGGTCAAAGATCGGAATACAAAAAGAAATGATCCTTCACACAAATCGCTCAGCCACGACGCATGATCGATTTAGTACGAACAGTTCAGAAATATAGAAAAAACATAATTACCATTGCAATCTCAGATGGGATAGTTTCAGAGGGGATATATGTAGTTAACTATTAGTGAAGTTGTGGTGAATTTAACATAGCTACGTAATTGACTGTTTGGTTTGATCATATTTTGTTGATCCCATTTTTTATATATATTCTTTATTGCACTTTTTAGGGTTCTTTAACTCAATATAAAAAAATATGGAAATCAAAGAAAATAAAGAACTCTTATAGGATCACTTTGTTATTTGTTTGTCAAGACCCTTTTTTTAAAGAACGTATCGAGCTGAAATTAATATCAAATAACAAATATTAATATCAAATATTAAAGCGCAGAAAAAATAAATTTTTAAGTCATTGCAGCAATGTATATTGCATATACTTTGACATTTGTAGGGAAATCGAAACCTTTAGGATACTTTCCGTAGATCTTATTTTACTTCCCGTAAATCATGAAAGACAAGACATAATCTCGTACAGCACAAGTAAAAGGAAAAATCTAAAAACTGTAAATTTGTTACATCACGAAAAAATTTTGCTTAATATTTTTTTATCACTTGACTGGTTTTTATTGAATCCAATATGACAACGGGTATGTAACACGCCTATATATAGGTACCAAAAATATGCATATTTGAAATTGAAGGGTACGTAGTAAAATTGAAGATGCACCTTAATTAATAGTTAAATGATTTGAAAATCATTCGAATAATCCGAATAATTAGCTCAATCGAATCCGACTACTAAGGATTAGTACGACACTTTCTGGTAGTCCATTAAAAAAAATACCAAATGGTTTTATGGAAATTGGTAGAATTTTATTTTTTAATCTGAAATGTTATCACTAGTTGTTAACACGAGTTCTCTCCTGTGTACTCGCTGTAGGCACGTTGGTATCGCAACGTGACACGGTGCCGGTCGCGTGTCAATTATTTCTAACAGATTACACACAGGATCTGTACGACACCTGTGTAACTGCAGGGTTTTTAAAAATAGCCGTAGGTACTCTTACGTATTTTACGATATTAGGGCTGATTCTGAGGTGTCATTTCTGTAAATTTATCTCTTAACCTAGTATTTTAATATGATAATTTTACGATTACTATTTTTAGGACTTACAAACTAAAATTATAATAGCTCTGACTTTAGGTAGTTCATATTGGTCCTTACAATAAAGATTTAGCTGTGATATCAAATTGAAAATTTAACTTTAAAGGTTGGTTTAGAGAAATTACACCTAAGAGTCGACCCCATTGTTAGGCATTTTTATATGAGGCGAAATCATTAATAAGAACATACACAAAGAATATTGAATATATACCTATAAACAAAGTAAATAAATAGAAACAAAAACTACAAGCCTATAATTAGATTATAAACATAAGTACAGAATCCGGAATTAGTATGGGTCCCTGACTCGGCTTAGTCAGTTGCAGTATTTATTCTATCAGGTCCTTAAGTCATGGACATATACCTATGTCTGAGACTTTTATTCATTCATTCTTACATTATGCTTTAATTTAAGCTTTTTATCTCTTTAATCTACGCTACTTTAGCATCATATTGCTTTTACATGTTTTTAAATATAAAAAAAACATATTTTTATTAAAAATATGTATAAATATAAGAAACATTTTTTGTCTATAAATATACGAATATAACTTGAGCCTTATATTAAAAAAAAAATAACTAATTTCGGAATAGCGTATTGTATTTGTATTTTTATGTAAGCAAAAAAGTAAACATTTTATAATATTTTCATCCATGAACGAAATTTTCATTTCATTCTTTATGCGTACGTATAAAATATTGTACAGGTTTAAATATGTTTTGCATGAACAACTGCCATTAATAAATGTGTTATATAATAACGAATGTGATGTTACGAGTATTATGAAAATAGGAAACGACGAACGACCTCGCGTTTGTCATACAAGTCGAATCTGCTGATTCATTCAAAATATCAATCAAATTGTATCGTATCTAACAACAGATATAGACGAAGATATCGTTTGACATTTATATACAGATACTAAGATAACCCATGGCTATGCCCGTACAGTCCGAATGATAGATTAATAACTGAAAACGATCCATGTATTTATCGAACTTGGAAAGGTAAACAAGCTTACTCCTCACTTAAAGGAAAATGGTAACCTTCACCTATAGGCGTAAACAACACTGGATACACGGATATTTACTGTACTCCACAGTGTTGCCGTTCTTAAGGAATTTTGAAAATAACTGATTTAATTTCCATTGTTCTTTTCATTAAATTTTAGAAGGAGACATTGTATAAAAGTTGCCTGCCTCGGTAACTCTACATTCGCATTTCTGGGGTTAAACAGCTATGTTTACATTATATGTGTTCTGATTTAAGGGCTGGAATATGGTAGTAAAATTACAAGATATGGAGATATATTAGTTGTTAGGAATGACAACACATGAATCAAATAAGTGTTGTGACGTCCAAGCGGCACCATGATACTGAGTAAAATACATTCTGTGATACCGATGACACTATTGATGTCTATGGGTAAAGGTAACCACTTTCC